CCTTGTAGGAGCATATCATGAAAATACAAAGCTGTGGAGAAGATTAGGGGTGTTGGGAAGCCTGGGTTGGAGGATTGTACAATGTTACTTTAAACACACTGCATTTGGAGTTACGAAAATGCAAGAGGACTAAATGCAAATCGGCTACGGGCAGCCATCATCTCCCTCGTTAACGTGAAGCAGCAGAAAGGCAAAAGCAAAGTGAGGTGGAAAAAAAGACTGCAGCATATAAAGCGGTCACTTCCTATGCATTGCTTGAATAGCTGTCCTCTGAAGTCATGGTGGCAGTCAGCGAGGTGGGGGGAGGTGCTGTGCACAGGGCTCAGTCTGTTGCTATAGTAACATCTCCTTGGTGTGTTTTTTTTCTGTTGTTTTGGGGAAGAAGTGGATCGACATTGGTGGGCCACTGAGCAGAGCAGCTTGTGCATCCGTTTGGCAGATTCGGGCTGGGAGCGAGCGAACGAGCGGTCTCGTGTGCAGCGCTCTGCTCTACCTCTGCCCCCTTTGTGTTGCTATTGCGGCTCCAGGACTGGCACAACAGCACGTGTCCAGCTCGGGCAGCGCTGCTGTTCACTGCTTTTCTCCTCGCAACTGCGAGAAAATATGCTGTGAGGCTTTAGGAAACAAAAGTATCCACAAAGCACTGAAATTCTTGCTGGGAGGAGGAGGAAGAGGAGGGCAGGGGGCAAAGAAATGATTGCCTTTAGAAAGGGGAGAACACACAGTCAATGTATTTTGCAATATATCCTGTAAAGCACTTTGGAACATCCTCCCGATGTAAAAGGCGCTACACCAAATGTAAGGGCTATTGTTGTTTGTAAATGCAGTGTGGTTTAAAGACACAACCGGGAAATGGGAGGGTTGGTCTAACACATGCCAATGGATATTCCCTCTACACAACAACAACAACTTGCACTCGCGCAGCACCTTTTATGTAAGCTAACATCTCAACACACTTGCTTTTTTAAGGTCAGTGCGCGAACTCGAGGAAGTTGTGATGTGGGGGGGAACGCAGGGAAATAGGAATCAGTGACTGAGGGCATGGTTGAAAAGTAGGTTTGCAAAAGTGTTTTGAAAACAGGGAGGGAATGAAGTGATGTTTGGTAGGAGTTCCAGATAATTATCACCCGTCAGTTGTCGTCTTGGCTCAGTTGGGAGCACGCTCATCTCTTGGCTCAGATGCTTGTGGGTATGAGACCATCAATTCCTGAGTTTTTGAGCTCACAGGATTTTTAACCCTCCAGTGCAGGAGCACTCATTGTCGGAGGTGCCATCCCTCAGGTACACCATTCAAACCAACCTCCCAGATACCTGTTGAGGGGATTGACAATCCCATAAAACTATTGAAAAAATGTTTCCCCCAGATTTTTCCAGATAATTCAGCCTTTGTTCACATTGTGGGCTGTTGGTGGCAGCTTGTGGTATGCAAAATGGCTGCTGTCTGTTTATCTGCATTTGCCAAGATAAACAATTGCTCTAAAATGCTTCAAAGTCATTATAAAAATGTTTTCTTGAATGTGGGGACCCTCTGAACGATGGGGCCACCCAACCTGGCTGAAAATCCCAGGTGCATTGTTTTTAGCTGAGAACAGATTATTTTTGAGAGGTGAGAAATGATCTTTCTGAAGATATACAGAGCTCAGTAATTGTGTGAATAAGGTGGGGGGGGGCGGGGGCGGGATAGCTGAGATGCCCCCTCACTCCAACACTTGAATACCAGCACTCAGTGGGATCAACAAACTCACATAGAAGATCACATCAATGAGCTCAAGCACAGGAAAAAGCATTTTGAGGTGTAAATGCATCACTAACTGGAAATACCGTGTTTCTCCTACCAAACTGTGAGATCTTGAGTCATAGCTGAGTTGTTGAGGTGTCAGAGTGCCAAACATGGGTTTCCCTGAAAGAGGCGTGTTTCATGTTCTGCATCATATTCACACTTCTGTTCCCAACAAGAGCTTTTCACCGCCTCCCCCCCCACCCCATTGCCTAGATTCCACACATTTGTGTGTCAGCCTGGCTCAGTTGGTAGCGCTCACGCTTCTGAGTCACAAGCCACATTGGGATTTAGACTCACATAATCGAAGATGACATACCAGTGCAGGAAATCCTGTGATTTGGGTCGGCCTCTAGACGTGAAAGGTGCTTTACCAAGTGTGAGGATTATTATTATCACAATGTAAACAATGGCCACTTGAGGGTGAAGTACCAGAGGGTGCCCAGGGAGGGGTATATATGCCACCCCAAGAGTCGGTATCTTCATAGATGGACGAACGGAGGAAGGTTAGATGGAAAGGAAAAATTAGTCACTACTTAGTGAATAATCCACTGCATCGGTTCATAAGGCTGCATCTCAGGAATGGGCTCCCAGCCCATTCCCTCGGATGTGGGCAGAGGATGGCAACGGAATTCCTAAACAGTTCTCCCACATTATTTTTATTTCTTCCCTTAATGTTAGGTGTGTTTTGCAGTTGGTTTGTAAAAGGAGGCAGCGTCTTCATCAGAGTGGAGTACTGCAACTCAGTGGTTAGAGCACTCGACTCGCAAGCCAGAGACTTGGGTTCGATTCCCGGCAGGCAAAACGTTGGGCAAGTTTACTTAATCCACACACCTCTGCTTACCTAGCAGTAAGTAGGAGCCTGGTTGTTAATCGATTGGCGGAGCGCTTTTCCGGGTATAATAATTTCTTCAAAAAATAAAAAAAATAATATATTGGTCACTTCAATCCCCGACTCTTTGTGAAACACTGCTGTGCGCAATTGGCTAATGCCACGTTTCGCCCACAAAATATACAGTGAATTCACTTTACAATAGATTCTGTGAAGCACTTTGAGACGTCTTGAAAACGTGATAAGTTGCTATATCAAATGCAAGTATTATTATTATAAGCGTCTGGCGAATATTTTATCTTTGTTCGGGTAGAGACACAGCACGTGGGGCATCACTGTTGATTGTCCGAGGCAGGGGGAGAAGCGGAGGGACACTTTGGGAGAGGAATAGCAGTGCAGTCGATTTTCTTCTTCGAGGGCAGTGGTCGCTTTATGTGCCCCGCTTTCGCCACAGGTTTGTGGCAGAAGCAAAGAGCGACACACACATGGTGCGGAGTGGGTTGGACTCAGTTTGAGGACAATGACAACTGACTGTCCGCGTGCAAGGCAGCCGCGAGGTCTGCAGGAGCTCACCACTGCTTATGACAGAAATGTACAAACCCCCTGGAGAGCTTTCATTATTCAGCGCTTGTGAATAATGCTGTTTTAGTCCTGGAGAAACCCAGATGCAGTATCTGATTCCAGTGAACCCTGGGCTAGTTAATGGAATTTTCATGACAGAAATCATAAAAGTGATTTTTTTTAAAAACCAGTCGCCTGCTTTTGTTCTCCTTCAGAAAAAAAAGCCGCTGTTTGGACCTGAGCTGTCAGTCACTCTGGAGCAAAGCCCTGTTTTCATTCCAGACTTTATCCCCACGTAAATTACACATGAATCGAACCCCTAGAATAAAGTCACCAGTGTGTACTGTTCTGCCATTTCCTTGTGAAAGGTTCATAAGGACTAATTGTCCAGTACTTTGATAAAACTTATGGTTGTTTCTTTCCCCACTGAGCGTATGCAGTTTGGGCCCTTCTTCCCCCTCCCCCCCCAGTTCTGTATTGAAGCCTATGAGGGGAAGTGGGTGGTTGCTTCTGTTGTGAAGCTTCGAGACTCCCTGCACACACACCCACCCCCCACACACTCCTACAGCTACCACTACCCACATGACATATTAAAGGGGAGACAGCAGGGTGGATATTCTTGAAGGATGAGATCAAATACCTTCTTCATCTGAATCTAACTTGATCTTGAGATATCACTAACATACAATTAATGGGCGTCCCAAGACATTCCGTCATTGTGCAATGGAGTTATCCCACCGATGCCACTATTGCTCAACAATTTTTTGCGTGAGGCCTTCCAAATAGCAGTTCAATGGCTCCATCAATGGACAAGTGGGTAAAGTCAACCACAAGTGTGTAAAGGCCCTGTATAACAGGCAAGTGTGCTGACCAGATGATTACCGATTTGATCTGCACTGAATTAAATGGAGCGCATAAGGAGAAATTGTACAGATATAGTAATAAATATAATCACTCCAAAATATCAAAACAAGGAATATTGCAATTAGAATCAATGGGGTGAAAATTGCCATGTTGTAGTGTGTTAATTAACAGCTAATTGAGTGCTAAATAACATATGCATTAATTTAGCGACCAGTTGATAATTAACATCAAAGGTCCACTGAACCCTTTGCCCCATGACACCCAAAACCATCTCAATGATTATGGTGAGAAGCCATTGGACTTTGGTCTGGGTTAGTGGGATACAGGCTTAACTAAGGAGAGAAATGATAGTCAAGGCAATATCCCTCCAGCCAGCAGTGCAATGCCAGAAAACTACTTTGGTTATTTGGCACAACCATTGAGAAGGGTATTGGAGCCCGGTTCCACTTCAAGGAGATCTGGGATAATTATTAATAAGAAGAAATGCCACAAAACAGTTTTACATTGAAAAGAAAGATGTAGATCTAACTGCAGATTAAAAGACTACATGGTAAAGATTCACCTGATGTCAGCCTCTAATGGGATTTCCCTTTATAAGGATGTAACACTCAATGGAATTTTACCCATATATTTAACCGTAATTGTTAAAATGCTGAATTAATTGAAACACAAGAGGAGCAGTTTGCGTCAAGCATTATTCTTTGGTTGAAACACTGAACCCCAATTTATACAGCCAAACCTAATAGTAACAGACAGGTATTAGACACCTTTGATTTGCTCCTGGCAGAACCTCTGATATACTCAATGAAATGAGAATGGCTTTATGGTCTCCAAGAATCTACAGATATGCAGTTTGACTGTACTTTGCTGGTCACAAGTTTACACTGAAGAGAGTTAACATTTCTGTCAAGTGGAGTCAAACGTGCAATCGTTCATTAATCAATTCTCTTTATTTTCCTCCCAAAGCTTCAAGAAACTGTTAAGCGGAAACTTGAAGGAGCCCGTTCACCACTGAATGGAGACCTGCAAAATGGAGTTTCTGACAGCAGCTTCTCTCCGACCAGTAAGAGAGTCCGAAAAGAGGGACCTGGGATAGAGCAGAGCAACAGTCTGCCCAATAACATCCCCATACCTTCAGTCTCTCCTCTGCATCAAATTGACATTAAACCAACTTTTCCCAGACCGACCAGTGGAAATAATTCAACGGGAATGGACGACCTAAACAAAGAAGGTCGACATCCCAGAGTGAACCTACAGGTCAATGGCACCAGAGATGATGATGACTTTAACCTGATTTTAACCAAGGATCTTAAGCAAGAGCCGCTGGATGACCCAACGGGTATGGACTCATCGGACGCTTCCCTTGTCCATCAGAATAAACTGTTCTCGGACATTAATCTCAACGAACAGGAGTGGCAAGAGTTAATTGATGAACTGACGAGCACAGTCCCAGAAGATGACATGCACGATCTGTTCAATGAAGATTTCGATGAAAAGAAAGAGATTGAGGTTATCAGACCCACTGCACAAACCCCAGTGCCACAAGATAACACAAATATAAAGTCTGAGATGTGTCCATCTCCTTTTAACCAGATGTCGATGGGATCTCCTCAGGTGAGACCATCTTCTTCAGGTCCTCCCTTTTCCAACGTCTCTACGGTCTCTAACGTCTCGTCTGTATCAAGCATTTCATCACTTTCTGCTCCGGCCACCTCACCAGTGACCTCTGCAAGCCAATCCCAGCAGCAAACCCCCAATCAAACCCCAGCACACGCAAGACCTGGAAGTGGCTTTCTGATGACGACATCTTCTGGGTCAGGGTCAGGCCAGGGGCCAGGACCGGGACCTGTACCGGGATCTGGTCCAGGACCTCTGCCGCCATCCGGTTCTGATCTGTCTCGAGCTGAACAGTTAAAGCAAATGGCAGTGCAGCAGCAGCAAAGAGCTATGTTGCTGCAGCAAAAGCACCAACACACTCAGCAACAGCACCAGCAGAATCAGACACCGAGCTGGTCACCCGCAGCTCCACCACACAGTCCCTTTGGAGGACCCTTTAATCCAGACAAACCAAATAGCCCAATGATGTACCCACAGGCCTTTAATAACCAAAAGCCTATGGTGCCTACTATGACAAGCAACCCTCAGAAGGCCATGAATAACTACCTCTCACAAAACCACATGAGCATGATGAATCAACAGCCAAATAGCATGGGGCAGAACTCTGTGAACAAACAGGCCATGCTTTCGTATGCTAACACTAAACCACTGTCTCATTATAATATTGAGCCTGTGGGCCAGAGAATGACCCCGCCGATGGTTAGTCAGAACAAAACTCCTATGATGCCCTACTTGCAGCAACAGCAGCCACATATTCAACCTCAGGCTCCTCATATTAGTGAGGAACAGAAGCGCCTGCTGTTAATGAAGCAGAAAGGACTACTGCCCCAGACAATACCTTATGGAACACTGCCAAGCCATGGTCCGGTAAGTGAGAAGAGCATATTGATTTTCAATGCTGCCAAGATTGGTGTTTAGTTTTGTTCCTCTTGCTTTTATATTAGAGGATTCTTGCTTATTTCACTTCTTTGAAGTCCCCAAAGCGTTAGTTTTATCTCTGTTTGTGCGTACGTTTAATCTTTTTGACTTGCCTTGTGTTTTAGTTGGTCTTGTAATAAGTGGTCCATGTGTTTTTTGTTCAAGATGCATTGATTAGATTCAAGGAAAGTTGGTTAAGGCCTGGCTTGAGGCTTGGCTTTGATAGGGCACTTTGAACACTTTATATTCCAACAAATAACTGTGCTAAAATAGATTTCCTTTGCAAACTCTGACAGATCAAGAAGTGTAACTGGGGACTAGTGTTTCATAAACGGTCCACCATAGTACTTGGTCTCACAGTTTGATATCTGACTTGCTGGCATTTTGCTCCTGTCTCGTGAACATTTTCTATTTTATTTTGCTACAGCGATAATCCCATCTTGGATCACAGTGTGTGTTCCATTATTTGCCCAGCGAATATAACTTAATTTGTCCATGTACAAGGGCTTGTTACTGTTTTCTCAACAGAGTTTCAGTTACAAAGGACTAAAGCATGGTTTTATACACACTGGTGTTACAGTTACCAGGTGTTCACAAAGTCCTGTTACCCCCACGTTTTTTCTACAGTTCACTGACCAACAACTGTAACACGTGGAATAAATTCTAAATACATAACAAATGTATTTAGAAGTACTTACTTGTACTCAGTACAAGTGTTTAACTGTGTTTAGATGTCCAGAGTATGGGTGTGAGCACCATCATTTTCATGGCAGATAATGATCCATTGTCATGTTCGGTCTGACATCTTGCGTAACATGGATGGAGTGACGAGGAAGTTACTGGTATCAGACATTGTTACACTCGACTCATCTGCAACAGAAAATAAAAATTCATTGAAAGAAAAAAATAAGGGTGTAACAGGACTTTGTGAACACCCTGAACTTTACCACAATGTGTATCAGGTGGAATGATCAGCTGCACAGGTTCATTTGCACTCGGTTCCTTTCACGTTATAGGGTAAAATTTGTGTTATTCCAAAATGTGTTCCTATTTTTTGTTAGAAACACCAGCAGGTGTTGCAAGTGTGCAGGTTAGTGGCTTCCTGTACTCAGGCTCTGAGCAATGCCATTTTGTTTTTACTATGAGGTCAGTGATCCTATTTTCTAAATTTTAGGACCTATATCAAACTTAATGGTATGTTTTTCTTTAATATCAGTTTCCCAGTATTATAATAGAAAGACAGCTACTGCCTGTGGATTTGTACCCAGCGTAATCAGTGTCCTCTGGAACTTAGGACCAACACTGGAGCTGCAAATCATTGGATTAGGGACTATAATTTGGATCTCTGTCTTGGGTAACAGTTGTACTCAGGAGCCTCCTGGGGTAGTTTGGACAAATTAATGGAGTCAAGAGAAAACTGGCCTTCCACCAAGTGCTGAAGTGTCCCCTCTTGACCTCAATTCCCTGTTAGTGCGAGGTTGAGTGCTAAACTTCACGGCAGACTACTATGTTCATCCTTGACATGACTGTTAGTCTGTGCGTTCTGTCCGTCTTTCACTCACCCTGCTATAACTCAAAAGATGCAAGGACCAATCAACTGTTTTGTTTATTTGAAAAAANGAACACATACTAGTGCCTGAATATTTCCGGAGGCCGAGTTGTCATATGTGGCCTCTCCAGACTAATTCAAGAGATATTAACCTAACTTAGATTAAGCTCAGCTATTATTCCCTGAATAGACTCAGGAAACCTATTTTACAAAGCTTCAACATCATCTCTACCAAGCACGAATCAAGTTGGTGGCACTATCAACCTTATTGAGATGGGGAAAGGGGGCTTTAACTGCAGAACACATTTAAATCTGGTTCTTTAAATCGACCCGGTATTTCATATGTTTAGAAAAACTGTTCTATAATTTTGATCCTTCCACAGTGACCCCTTCCAAATAATAACTGATTGAAATTTGAATATATTAAGTTGCTCTATTTTTCTTTACCTAGTTTTCAAATGCAGTTATTATTATCTTCTATATAATAATAATCCTTCCATTTGAATATAACACCTTTCATGTCTGGAGGACGTCCCAAAGAGCTTAACAGGATATACTGTAAAGTGCAGTGACTGTCTGTTTTGTGGATAAGTATGGCAGCCAATTTGGGCTCAGCAATGTCCCATAAACAGCCATGAAGTGAATGACCAGTTTTATCTGGGGTATAAAAGAAGAGGATGCAGCCAATGCCACAGTATCCGAGGAAAGGGTAGAGAAATTGGATAAGATAAGGAGGTATTAAAAAAGTTGTTGTTGCTCAAGGTAGATAAATCACCCGGTCTGGACGGGATGCATCCTAGGTTACCAGGTTATGAAAGGTTACAAAAGGTGTAAGGACCAATCAACTGTTTTGTATCAAGACCCTCCTTTTCGACTGTGCCTTCGATCACCCTGTTTCCCTCTCTGCTTTCCACCCTCCCCGATCCCAACCCCAGCTCGGGTCCAAAACTCTTGTCTGTCCAGTGCCTTGGGACGTCCTCCTGACGTGAAACACGCTGAAACAAAATTTCATTTTGTTGTTGTTGTTACTGAGGGAAGTAAGGGTGGAAATAATGGAGGCTCTGGCCACAATCTTTCAATCCTCTTTGGACACTGGGGTGGTGCCAGAGGACTGGAGGGTCGCAAATGTTACTCCCCTGTACCAAAGGGGGCAGAAGAATAAACCCGGGAACTACAGGCCAGTCAGCCTAACGTCAGTAGTGGGGAAACTTCTGGAGGCTATAATCCGGGACAAAATAAATTTTCACTTAGAAAATATGGGTTAATAAAGGACAGCCAACACGGATTTGTTGAAGGCAAATCATGTCTTACAAACCTGATGGAGTTTTTTGATGACGTAACGGAGAGGGTGGATGAAGGTAGTGCAGTTGATGTAGTTTATATGGATTTTCAAAAGGCGTTTGATAAAGTGCCACATAAGAGACTTATAAGCAAAATAGAAGCCTACGATATTGAAAGGACAGTGGCAGCATAGATACAGATCTAGCTGGGAGACAGAAAGCAGGCAGTGGTGGTGAACAGTTATTTGTCTGACTGGGGTGTCCAGAAGTGTGCCCCAGGGGTCGGTATTGGGACCACTGTAGTTTTTGATCTGTATAAATGACCTGGACTTGGGTATAGGGAGTACAATTTCCAAGTTTGCAGATGATACTAAGCTAGGAAAAGTAGTGAACAGTGAGCAGGATAGTAGCAAACTGCAAGAGGACATAGACAGACTGGTAAAATGGGCAGACGTGTGGCAGATGAAGTTTAATGTGGAGAAATGCAAAGTGATGCATTTTAGGAGGAAGAATGAGGAGAGGCAATATAAGCTGATGGTACAATCTTAAAGGGGGTGAAGGAACAGAGAGACCTGGGGGTTCATATAAGTAAATCTTTGAAGGTGGCAGGACAGGTAGATAAAGCAGTTAAAAAAGCATATGGGATATTAGGCTTTATAAATAGGGGCATAGAATACAAAAATCAGGAAATTATGATGAACCTTTATAAAACACTGGTTAGGCCTCAGCTACAGTACTGTGTTCAGTTCTGGGCACCACACTTTAGGAAGGATGTCAAGGCATTGGAGAGGGTGCAAAGGAGATTTACCAGGATGGTACCAGGAGCAGAAAAGGTTAAGAGGAGATTTACTAGAGGTTTTAAAAATTATGAGGGGATTCGATAGGGTGAACAAGCAGAAACTATTTCCATTGGCTGGTGGGTCGGTAACCCGAGGGCACCGATTTCAAATAGTTGTTAAATGAAACAGAGGGGAGCAGGTAAGGAGAAATTTTTTTCACACAGCAGTTGTTCAAATCTGAAATGCATTGCTTGAAAGAGTGGTGGAAACCGATTCGATAACAACTTTTAAGAGAGAAGTAGATAATTATTTTGGGAGGACAAGTTCGCAGGGCTATTGTGAGAGAGCAGGGGAGTGGGATTGATTTGGATAGCTCTTTTCAAAGAGCCGGCACAGACGTGATGGGCCGAATGGCCTCCTTCTGTGCTGTATAATTCTGTGAATCTATAATTCTATTGTTGGCCTTGAGAAACTCCTTTCTCTTTTTGAATAGTGTTTAGATTTGCCCTTTGCTGGTGATGGAGTGGGTGGAGAGTCTCTTTTGGTTGATTTAGGTGGGATTGTTTGCAGGACCTTACTAATTTGAAGCTGCCGGTAAGTAGTTTATTGGCGTTTTTTTCCACACAGGTTGGAGCTGCACGGAGTGATCCACTGAAAAATAATGGAGCCTCATTGCTAGGAGTAGAGGAAAGGGTTTATTAGACAGCAGGTATTGTGCTAGACTGCTCTAGCAAGTCGGATAAGGCAGTGTGGATGTGTCCACTGTTACTCATCCCTGCTCGTTGGTTATGCAAGCTGTGCTGAGTACCGATCGCACATGTCGAGACTTGTGGTGTTGATGTGTTTGGCTGCTCACGTTGTGATGCTGGCTGAAACTATCCCAGGGAGGATTTAAGCCACATACTCCTGCATGCTGTACATATATATATTATATATATATTATATACATATATACACACATACACATATATATGTATATATAGAGAGAGAAAATGTCTTTCTTGGCTGTATCGTGGACCCAGTAATAATGTGGAGCATCAAAAGCCCTCGCGGTAGATTTCACACTGACGTGTAAATAGGGGTGGATGATGCACTGTGCGGCTTACTGCAGAGACTAACAACCACTAATAATAATGTCAGGATGTGGAATCCATCAAACTGACATGAAATGCAACGGATAGTGAAGTGATCCTGGGGAAGGTGGCTGCAGTTTCCAGGGTGGGGTGGAGCTGTGCCGCTCAGACCATTTAATATTTCCTCATTCTCCCATTCCTCTTGGACTCGCTTTCCCGTTCGTCCAAGCCCGAGAGAACAATTGGTAGTAAAAGGGCCGCCCGCACA